TATGAATTCCTGGTCTTTCCTTGATACAATAGTAAACGCTTGAAAGTCAATCAACGTCTGTATGCGTTTTATTCGTATAGCGCATTAACACGTATATTATAACTCGTGTCAATATTTTTTATTTTATTTTAATTTTTTTTTGTTTTTTTTCCCCCATAAAATTTTGCGGCATGATCGTACTCGAATAAGTAATAAAATAAATTTTCTTTTTGCCAGTCCCATTTTGTTTTGGTTCCTTTTTTTGTTTTTTTTACTGCGATTTCCTTTGTAATTACACGAATGCGCTTTGTGTGTATTGATAATAAATAAATTTCCGATTCATCGAACTCAAATAATAAAAGAGAAGCAAATGCCAAAGGATTAATCCTTTCGCACTCCAATTATTTTTGACCCCTTTTGTCAGGCTGGATCCCCAATTTATTCTCTTCTTCGAGCGAGACTTTGTTATCGAATATAATCATTTTTTTACGTATCGATAATGCCGAAAGAATATAAATATATTGAAGAACAGTTGGGGAGAGGGGAGGTGGGGATCGATAATTCAATGTAAAACATCAAATCCATTCTCGGTTTTACGTTCGGTTTTACATTCACGGTTTTACGTTCAATCGTATTTATATTAATTGTTCTCCGGTCGTAAAATTTTCTCGCTTATTAATGTAATATTACATCTTACTCGGCCGATACTTAAAGATCGATGATGAAAGATCGTCGATAAAGGAGAAGTGAAAGAGAAAGAAAGAAAGAAAGAAAAAGAAAGAAAGAAAGAAATATATAGTCCGACTTGTTCTTAGAAGACGCCTGTGGTTTGTTCTATCGGAGAACCAGGAAGAAGGAGGCAGGAGAAATGGACTTTGAATTTGCGGTCTAAGCGTAAAAGGAGGAGACACGTTCAATCGCGCAGATGCACTTGGCTCCTGCAACCGTCGAATACGACGACTACAACGACGACAATAGGGTACGTCGAACGGCGTACGCGACCGAGTTCAGTTTCTCGAGCCATTATTTACGAATCGCATTACCTCGATGCGCACCGCGGCCAGAAACTTCGAGCAATAGAGTATATCCCCGACGACGTATCGCGTCCTCTTTCTTTTCTCTTCGAATCAATGTACCGACAAACTTCGAATTACCGTCGCGACGCCAGACGAAACCCACTCTCTCACCCACTACGTCCTCCTTCTACCCATTCTATCCATTCTCACTGTCTCTTTTCTTTCGAAAGCGCAAACGAGAGAGAGAGAGAGAGAGAGAGAGAGAGAGAGAGAGAGAGAGAGAAGAATGGAAGAGAAGAAAAAGAGGAGGTTCACAATCGCAGAAGGAAAAACCTTGGTTACAACGAAAAGGTATCATCGTCGAATGGGATATTCATATTCTTCGAGTTGTTCGCAAATGCATCTGCTGTTCGTGCATAAAAAATGCACGTTTGAAACACGCCATCTCTCTTTTTCTGTTTTCTTTTTCTTCTTCTTCTTCTTCTTCTTTCTCTTCTTCTTTACTCTCTCATCTCTTTCTCTATCTTTCGCTCTTTCATCCCTTCTCTCTTTCTCCCCTTTAGTTTAGTCTCGAAACTGTTTTCCACGTTTCGCCGATATAAATAATTCCCAAGCGTTTGCACGCCTTCCCTCTACCTCCTCCTGTCTGATTTAAGATCGACGATGGGTATTCCTTACGAAAATGTTTCTCTCCATCCACCGCCGTCGACTCTCACTCATCCTCCACTACCCTTCTCCTCCTCCTCCCTCCTCATCGCCCACTGCTCCTACTACCATCTCCCACTACCGCCCACAACTCAAATTACGATACTTTGGTCGACCTACTTCAAAATATCCACGTTACAACACGTTTACAAAAACATGGTTATATGGTATATATCGAATAGACGTGATCCTTGAAAACGAAATCTCTAAATTAGAAGAAACGTACTCTTGAGATCGATAAGTCAAACATTGTTACAGAGTTGAATCTTTATGTATATATATATATATATATATTTCATGTGGAGATCGTATGTGGATAATGAGATTTTCTTAAAGGATCTAACACAAAATTTGAGTAAGATCGTTGAAACTTTATTAGACCGAGTTAGAAAAGTTTTATTTTTATCGTACGAAAGGATATATATGTTACGAAAAGTTACTGATTTTTCTCGAAAACGTCATTTCCTTAAATAGGATTCCAAAAAAATTTTATTTTATTTTATATATACATACAACACTATCTAGTATCTGCGATCGATCGGTCACGAAATTTCTCGCAATTTCCACGAAAAAAATTGTCCATGACGAAACATCGGGTTACTAGAACGAAATGAAAGGAAGACGATACGAAACTTAATATGTGTCGTTGGATAAACGTAGAGCCAAGAGAAAGAAAAAAAAAAAAGAAAGAAAGAGAGAGAAGAAAAAAAGAAAAAGAAAAAACTGTTCTGTTCACCCTCTGTGAAAATGTTGCGGGACAAGAGTTTATCTTAGGATCCCTCGCGTTTTACTTTGGTTCACAGCTCCTATCATTTTGTGTGCCTCTTTTTTTCTCTTCTCTTCTCTCTCTTTTTCTTTCTTTATCTTTATTTTTTTTGTCTTTCTCCTTTTCTTCTTTCTGATTTACCATTCAGAGGATGAAAAATGCATTACGCTAAAAGTTGTTCCTTGATACGAAGTAAACGATTACACATCGCATCGCGTTAGGGAAATTTGTCCTTCGTGATTATTTCATTTCGTGTTAACTTGATGTTACTCAACACGTGGAAAAGATCGAATAGGCGATCGATTCGATTGTTCCATTTCGTAGGAAGGTCTTTTATCGTCCTATTAGAATGGAATTAAATAGAATAGACGGCTTTGACTGTTATAATCGCTTAATCGGATCGTATCGATTCGTTTACTAAAACCGCAGGATGAAGGAAGATCTTTGACAGATAGACAGATAGACAGATAGACAGAGAGAAAGACAGAAAGAGAGACAGAAAGAAAGAGAGAGAGAGAGAGAGAGAGAGAGAGAGAAAGAGAGAAAGAAGAGAAGACATGAAAAAAGGTGAAGGAAGATAGTGAAAGGAAAAGAAAGAGTATACCGGTGGAAGGAAAACTTCCACTTGCACGGATATCTGCATAGCGAAAAACCCTCAAGAGGAAACTTTACGGACAGAATTTGTAACGAACCTTTAGGTCGTAGACTTCTTTCCACGAGTTCACGGCAAACGTGAAGGAAGGAAAGATCAGCTCGAGGTTTCGTATCCCTTCGCATCCCAACTTCACTACTACGATCTTTCTGTAGTGCCCCAGGTAATTAGATTCACCGTTCGAGATCAAAGTATACCACCATTTTCCATCCATGCCGGTAGCTTCACCGTACTTTTCTATTTTGTCACTTTTTCTCAATCCCTTCTATCTTTCTCTTCCTCTTTTTCCTCTCTCTCTCTCTCTCTCTCTTTCTCTTTCTCTCTCTCTCTCTCTCTCTTTCTCTTTCTCTCTCTCTCTCTCTCTCTCTCTCTCTCTTTCTCTTCTTCTTTCATTTTCGATTGACGCAGTGAAGCTTTACGTTTATGAACTCGTCGAAAGATTACCAACAGGATGTTTACTTTATTCTCAATCGAAACTTAAATTTTTCTTACATTTTTAAAGGATAATTAACAAACAGGAAAACTTTTCTCAATTTTCGATCGAGCTAAAGACTTTCTCTTCCCTTTTGGTTTTGGCTGGTTAAATGAAAAAAAGAAAGAAATAAGAAATACCGAAAGAAAAGTCCATTTTCAAAACATTTCTTTTCTTTTCTTTTTCTTTCTTTCTCTCTCTCTCTCTCTCTCTCTCTCTCTCTTTCCCCTTTATAACCAAAGTATAATTAATAAACGATAAAAAAAAAATCTTTTTTTAATTCGATAGAGCGCGAAGATCGCGTTCGGTGCGATAAATGAAAAGAAAAAAACCAAAGAAGAGAAAAGAAAAATCAAGAAAAGAGAAGAGAAAAGAAGCAAGAAACAAAAAAAGAAAAGGAAAAGAAGAAAAAAAAATATGAGTATAGAAAGTAAAACTATAAAGATAATCGTATCTCGTAAAATTTTTGGCGCATCTAATGTTTCTTATTGAGGAGAAATTAGCAAAAGGATTAGACAAAGACATCAGGTGAAATTTGTTTCGCTAACATTTCGTGAAGGAAGCAAGTGTTACATTAGCGTCGTCGTCGCCATCGTCATCTTCGTCGTCATCCCATCTCCTTTCCTTCCCTTTCCCTCGCCACCACCCCTCTGTGGCCAATGTAGACGACAGAGGGGTGGTAGTATTACTGCGTCAGGACGAATTCATAACAGAGTCATAATTGCGGGGAAGGGTGCAGGCGGTATGCATAATCCCGCAGTTAGCAGTTCTGCTTAACGATCCGCGAGAAGCAATCCCAACGCGTACCTGCCAAGCTCCTGCAGGATGAAGGCGTCCCGGCCGACTCGTCCCTTATTACCTATCCTTTATCCTTTCCATCTCTCCCTTTTCCCCTTTTTCCTAGCTCCCTTGAAAGTCAGATAAGCGCGTGGTAGTAAAAGAGAACGTGGCGTTGCGGTGGTAGAGGCGTGTGGCTTCGAACGCCTGAGAGTGACGTGGCAAAAACCGTGAACAAAGAGGGACGAAGAGGGAAAAGAGGGAGAGAGAAAGAGAGAGAGAGAGAAGAGGATGGAAAGAGGATAGTGGTGAGGTTCGTTAATTACAACCCTCCGTAGCCAACGCCACCGCAGTCGACCGCGACGAGGAGAAACAGAATTGGTGGAGCGTCGCTACGCGTTACTAGCCACGCTAATATCTCTCTCCTTTCACCCCTCTCTTTCTCTCTCTCTCTCTCTCTCTCTCTCTCTTTCTATTACTATATTTATCTCCTTTCTTTCTCTCTCTTTCTGTTACTAAACTAGCCTTTAGAATGTAGTATTAGGATCAATCAAAGTCTCCTCTTAGGTAATTTGTTTTCTGATATAGAAACAATAATAATAATAAAAAAAAAAAAAAAGGGATTTCACTCACCCGTATGTGTCCTCTGGTGGGCCTTAAGATGCGAACTCTTGGTATAAACCTTTTTGCATCCCGGAAATTGGCATTTGTGTATCCTGCGCTTCGTGTCCGGTGGGCTGTGCTCGTGGCTCCTCGCGTGATGCCTGTTGGATACCGTGCTCGCTGATGCACTCGCACCTGTGTGCGCGTGTTGTGTGCTCGCGACCGCTGAGAAGCCATTTGCCGTCATGGAGATTAGTCTGGGAGACAAAGCAATTATTTTTCTTCGTTGTTCTCAAAAGAATATGAAAACATAAAGAGAATAGATTAATAGTAATTAGAAACTACTATTATTCGATTCATTCTATTCTCAATCTATTTTATAATCAAATAAACAATAACTTTTTTTGATATTTATTATTGAAAATACAGAGATTATTTATTGTCCAATCGAATGTCGTACAATATTATTTCAATAGTTTTTTTAATAATATAATATTGATTAACTCATTGACTACTGTCGATGTCTAATAAAGGTACTTAACAAATTTGTGCTTCTGTAATATTGTAGGCGTTTAAAAGGGTCTTAAAAACAATTGCTCTTACGATACCATACGCGCCCATAAGCGCTTAACTCACTTTAATACTTTACTAGATTATTTATAAATACATTGTGAAAAAAAAGTATAAAATTAATGTTGAATTTTTAATATATGTGCATTAACAATTCAATGCGCAATACGAATATATAAATAATATTGGTTTAATGTAATGAAATTCAATGTTATAATTATTTCGATATACTTTCGTGCAGAGATATTATTATTTAAGAAAAAATTACATCGTTCTCGATTTATTACATTATAAATCACGATTGAATTCCTATCGTATGCTATGATTTGATACGTCACAAAGTTGGCCTTAGGAAAAAGGATTGATTTACATTAAATAAAAATCAATAAAAATTGTGTAAGTAAAATTTTGATATTATTTATCAAAATAATCAATCGAATATAATCAGAAAAGATCAGAAAAGTGAGAAACATTAAATGGAAATAATCGTTTAGATGGAAAATGACAATTTAAAAGACATCCTACTTTTTTCCATTCTCCATGGATGTTACGTGAACGCAATTGCAAGGGGATTGCGAGAAAATAGATACTAGAGTTTTATGAGGACTCACCTCGCGACGCCCTGCGCGTTGCTGGTGGTAACCCTGACGATGGCACTCCTACCGCCCGTCCCATGAAGGTTGAGGTTGTGCACGTCGAGCATCGAACTACCGCTCGACGAGTGACTGGAGTTGGAATGACCTTGACCCGAGCCTGGACTCGACGGCGGTGTCAGGATCTGACCTTCGCTCTCGCACCCGCTATCCTCTTCTTCCTCGATTTCCTGTTACGTTAACGTCCATTTTCATTACGCAACAATAGAACAATCATAACAGAACTTATATTTACTTTCTAATTCTAACAATGGAAATACCGTAATATCGATTTGATTCACATGACTTACGGATATATATATATACATATATATTATATATTATACGTATACAGGGTGTTCAATGTAGAGCCAAACGGCAAGACATTAGCGATACACTGTTATATTTCTTAAGAATTCACAGATGATTTATAATGCAATTTATAATACTGTGTAATAATAAATAACTTTATATGGCATTTCGTTGAATTCGTCAGAACGACTGCCATCGAATAACGACGAGAAAAATATATGGTACCATTTAAATAAAATAATTAATTCGATTTTAAAATTACTTTTTCTTCAATATCAAAACAAATCTCTTCTAAAAAAATATATGTTCATAGATAGATTCAATTTATTACGAGATATTTCAATTTTTCGAGACAAACAAGGGACACCCTGTATACGGTAATCATTTACGGAATAAGATATATATTATAATAAAACGAAACTCAATTATAAATCAATTAAAACAAATGTGATCTTTTATTATCGTAATTCATAGATTTCATCATTATTCATAATTACATAGAATCGATTAATAAATAAATATCATTTTATATCTATTTGAAGAAACTTCGTAATTATAAGACGACAAAACTTATTATAATATATGAATCAAGTCAAATATACGTATATTTATTATGAGTTTGAATTTTCGAAGAAATATTTTATCACGACGAAAAGAAAAATTGTTCCTTTATTTTTCTTTTTTTTTTTTCGTTATTTTTTTCCTTTCCTTTTCTTTTTTTTTCTTTTTTTTTTCCGCTGAACGATCAATATTGTACCTCGTGTTCCTCATCCTCCTCTAGGTCTTCGCTCGGTTCCTTTTTAAGAATAAGCGTCGTACACGAGAGGGAAGGCGAGCTATCCCAAGATAACGCCGAACACGCTGAACTAGCCGATGACATCGATAAAGAGTCGAGGTGTCGATCGAGGAGATCCCTATCACGGCCATTGTGGTTGTGATCGCCAGGTCCAAATTTGATGTCCTCCAGACAAAGCGTCTCTCTGTCGTCTGACGACGTCGTTACCTTCGTGACAGAGAGAGAGAGAGAGGAAGAGAGAGAGAAAGAGAGAGAGAGAAAGAGAGAGAGAGAGAAAGAGAGAGAGAAAGAGACAGAGAGACATAGAGAGATAAAGAGAGAGAGAGAGAGAGAGAGAGAGAGAGAAAAAAGAAAAAAATAAGAAAGAATAGGAAAGAAAGAAAAAAAAGAAAAAAGCTTGTACTTGAATCGTGAAAATTTCAAAGGGCATGGGTAGGGGTAATTGAATAGAAATAGTTGTTGTTGAATGGAAGGTTGTGGGGGGGGGGATAATGAAATTCATTTGATTGATATCATTCTTACGGTAACTCACCTCCATTTTGATTGGGGACTCGAATTGTGAATTGGCGGTGCCGGTTGTTGCTGTCCACGAAATAGGTGGCGCCCTGAAAAGGTTCCAGGGTGCTGTGTCCAATTCCGTGGGCAACTTTTTGTACGATTGTAACTTCGGCTCGTCCTTCAGGTACCTCTCCATCTCGTAGCATGTCTGAAAGTACCAGACAAGAAAGGTTCGTTAGAGGATGGATAACTTCTTAGCGATTTCGAAGGTTTTTTAGTTGCTATAGAACGTTTCGCGTTATCGAGCGACAGAGAAAAAAGGAAATGAAAAGAAAAGAAAAATATATATAGTCTATTCCATTCAACTTTCTGTATATACATTTTTTCTAACAACGTTATAGACTATTTATTTATTTTTTCTTTTCTTTTCTTTTCCTTTCAGATTGACGAATAAATTCTCTTCTCTTACTTATGTTATTTTATTTTTTATTTCTTTTTTTTTTTTAAGTTTCATCACGTATCAAAAGAAGAACATTTGTTCTTTCGAGTTAAAAGACGGAACCGGTACCTAAACAACGTAGAAATTATTAGACCAGTCATGATATATATATATATATATATATATATATATATATATACGTATGTGTATAGAAGTACGTCGACGTAACTAGTCCGAAGTTAGCAAAGTTGGTAGTCTATGTCCCGTAGGCTGTGCCAGTTTGGACTATAGTTCCTTCGAGAGAGTGCAAAGTTATACTACCTACTGCGAGGAATTGTGCAACAACCATAACCCCAAATGAGATTACGTCGACCTAAACCTAGTCAAGTCCCATACGACTCGCCAGTATCCTTACTGACTTTCTTCCGAGACGGGGTGCCTGTGTGTGTTCAACCTATGAAGGAACATATTCCTTTCGATCTTATAACAAAACCGATTAATCGATATTTTCCTATCCGATATCAATCAAATCTTTCATCTTTTCAAACTAATCGCTAATTCGTCGAACGAACGAACGTACTATCAAAAAAATATTTGCCGTTGAGTTGAAAAATTTGACAAATCGAATGGAAACGTACGATACATCCCTCTGATTGGTTCGTGCATGTACGTGTTCGTCGTAAGAAGAACCAGTCGTTCTCTTCTTATAAATACAAGAACAACACAAACACGAGAACGAGATAGGATCGTTCGATATATGCAGCAACGGAGAATATCACCCGGTCCATGATTATCATCATCTTCCTTCATACCGCAAAATACCGCAAGGCGGTATCGAACGTCGCTTCCCAATCATCGTAACGCTAATCGAACCAACGAAATAGGAAACGTGACCAAACGCCGTAATATCATCCGAGCACGGAGAAGCATCGACGACGATGGCGAAACGCCACGGCGCTTATCGATTCTTTCTTCTTTTTCCTCTTTCGCCATCATCTCACCTCTCTCTCTCTCTCCCTCTCTCCCTCTCTCTCTTTCTCTTTGCTTCTTCAACTTTCCATCTCACCTCCTCTCATCCTCCCCTACACAGTTTCCATCCTACCCGATACCACCTTTTCTCCTTTTCGCCTTCTTCTACGAACTTTGTCAAGCAACGACGGCGACGACAAGAATTTTCGACGTGGCGTCGAAAAAGAAAGCGCTGAAAAAGCCGTCCATTTTCTTGTTCGACAAGGATCCTTTAACAGGAACAATAAGACATCGCCACGACCAAGTTTCAAGAGCGTGCATGATGCCCTTTGATTCCCCTCATCCAACGTTGAAAATAATCGCTCTGCCCGACTTTTCCATTATTCACGATTAAAAGTTTTCCTTGGAAAGGTGAAGAAGAAGTGGTAAAGGGTAAGAAGGGAAAGGAGAAAAGGAACTCCTCTCTAACGACGTTATTATAATCTTAAAAGGAATTTTATCAGAGTCTTGGTAACAGTCTGTTCTTGATAGATGCCGCTGCATAAATTCAGCGTTATTGCCTTTTACTTTTTCTTTTTTCTTTCTTTTTCCATTTTTTTTCTTCTCGTTTTTTCTCTTTTCCCTTTCTGCACATCTCATTTCCAATGTTTACAGGTTGTTACGAAATGTCTAAGTAAATAAGATACATCGAGATCCGATGACGTTGTACGAAATTAAGTTTTGTACGAGTTGTAAAAAGAAAAGAAAAAAAAGGAAAAAGAAAAAAAAGTAGAAAAACATGTTCGTTAGTGTATACTGACGATCTAAAGTTAAAAAAAAAAAAAAAAGGAGAAAAGGAAAAAGAAAAAACATGTCGGAATTCAATCCTGCGGGAGAGTTTTTAATTATTCGTTCAAAAGTAATCACGTTTGGCCAGCGTAATATTCCAATTCTCATTGTTTCGTCGTTCGTACAAGGATATTTCTATTTCTAATAGAAAAGAAAATTACGAAAACAAGAAAAGACAAGAAAGAAAAAAAAAAAAAGAAAAAAAGAAAAGTAAAGAAAAATAACCAAGAGCTTTCCGCTTAAAAAAGTTGCCAGCTTAGCTTTACGACTCTTATATTCTCGGAAGAAGCCACTGGCCAACTCGTCCTTTTTGCCATTGGCTCCATTAAATACGAAACTGCGTAATAATTCAAGGAAGTTAAAGGGGGAAGGGAGGAGGGGGCTGAAGGGCGCCCCCTCGTGATTCTATCACAATGGCCGCGAGGCCGTTTTCTTGAGCGAGCCAGAATATCGTAAAGAATCTCTTCGTGAAATCGTCCATTATGCTTTTAGACGATCCCACTACGGAGTTCCTTAGTGTCTACGAATATATGATCTACGACTGCCATCGAAAATTCTAAAGAGAGAATTATCGTGCACGGTGTTCTTGGATAAAAATAAAATCTTGTCTTTCTTAGATAAAAATACAAAAAAAAAAAAAGAAATAGAAAAAAGAGGAGAGAAGAAAAAAAAAGAAAGAATCAGCGAACACCATGTTTTTCTTCCCCCACAAAAAATATTATCACGTGCACGTGTATGTGTGTGTGTCATGAGAGAGAGAGAGAGAGAGAGAGAAAGAATTCAGGGTCGTGGAATTTTTTTGATGGCACCCTCGTACAAAACGCGAGCCGACCGACGTACTCTCGAGGATAACAGCGTCGTTTATAAATCGACGAGCAAAATAATCTCGATGTTTCCGTAGAAAAACAAACAAGACATAGTCGAGAAAACGAGAACGATGGTTGTAAAGGGAACATGGAGTATAAGGAGTGGAAGGGAGTGGAGGGAGGGAAACTATATAACAATGAAGTAAGAGAAAGAGGCCGACTATGGAAAAGGGACGATTTCTCGAGGCCTTTTATCGAGATCCCCTTTCCCGTATATACCACTTTCATATGAAATATCCAGAGTTTTTTTTCCTTTCTCCTACGTTATCGCACGGGGTGGTTTCGATTCACGCGTTAGTCACTCCGTCGAGATAGTTCGACGGTAACGATTTCAGAAAGAAAGCTCGGTGGTAACAATAAAATGAATCATTCTAGGTGATCTTTCGAGACACAGGGAGTCTCTGAGACTGTTGAAAGAATGAAAGAAAGAAAGAAGGAAAGAGACAGACAGATAGATAGATGAAAAGAAAGAGAGAGAGAGAGAGAGAGAGAGATATGGGGTGGAAGGAGAAAGATAAAGCTTGGAGAACGAGCTAGTGGTATACCTACGCGTTTACGTGTTGTGTATTAAGAAGAGCCAGAGCAGGGGAATTGTTGAAAGAAGAAAAGAAGAAACGAGACGAGTGGAGAAAAACAGAACGATAGAGAGAAGCAAAAAAAAAAAGAGAAGAGAGAGAGAAAGAGAGAGAAAGGAAAAAAAGAATAAAAAAAAAAAAACAGAAAAAAAAGAAGAGAATAAGAAGAAAAAAAAAGCTAGGCGACCCAGTTCGCGAGAGAGTACGGGGAGGTAGGTAATCTTCTGGCTTCTCTGTTCGAAAAACTCTCTACGAACTAGATTCGCCTTTTCTCTCAGCGCATCTCCCACGTACCTGTCATACATACCTATATACATACATACCTATCTACCTACATATATACATAAGTATACTCGGTTTCTCGCAATTTCACTGGGAAACGCGAAGTTCCGCAGTATAATTCCGTGAGACTGTCATTAACAGAGCCGGTGGTTCGCTCGAGAGAAAATGAATGATAACCCGAGCAGGACTACTCTTGTGGATGCGAGCACCCTCGCGCGCGCGCGCGCGCGCGAGACCACGAATTAACGCGACGCATGACCATCGTAGTTTTTCAGTCTTCCTCTCCTACCCTTCTTCTTCTTCTTCCTCCTCTTCTCCTTCTTCTTCTTCTTCTTCTTCTTACGTAGTCCTATCCACCGGTGGCAGCCTGCCAGGTCGTTAAAGAGATTCCCGCAACTTTAAGGGCGCCGTAAACCCGCGAATTTATCTCGCCTTTTCCTTCACCCCCATTCCTCGTCTATTCCTCTTCTTCTCCTTCTACCTCCTACCCCCTCCCCAGCCCCTCCTCACTCTCTATCTTTCACTCTTTCACATGCTCTTTCTTCCTTCTTACCATTCTCCCCTCTACGACCTCTTCTTTCTCTTTTTTTCTTTCTCTTTCTTTCTTTTTTTTTCTATCATTCTTTCTTCTTTCAACCAATACGAAATTTTCGATCGAGCCGACGACGATCACTATCCTCCGTCACTATCCTTCTCCTCCTCCTCCTCCTCATCCTCCTTTCTTTTTTATTGCATCCATCTTTTTCTCCTCTTATCCTTTTTGTCACCCAACCGACCGACTCCCTCCGCAAATGTTCGAACTCCGCCCTCCCCATCTCTTCCCTCTCTCTGGTCACAAGTCTTTCCATCGTACTAAGTGGGTGGAGTCAGGTGGATTCCAAAAGGATTCGAGCTTTCGAACGAGCCCGATTAAATGGGATATATATAGTAAATGGGATATATAGTCTAGTTTTGAGTTATTATGCCGCATAAAATTGTAAGAAAGGAAAGGGCTTTTGCCAAAAACGGAGATAACGGAGTAGACATTGGCACGTCAAAGTTGACGATACTATTTAAACGACTAATTACTCGGGTACATAATATATACTTACGGAATATGCGTTGATTATTATTAATTTTATTATGATCGGGAATATTCGGGATAAAAATTCTTTTATCGAATTAACCACTCCTTGTTATTTCACGTTATTACGAACATACGCGCGCGAGCACACACACTCACAAACACATACATATATACTCGTTAACT